TGGAGCTCGTCGCGCGATCGTCGATGGAGACGTCGTGCTCGTCGACGGCAACGCGAAGCCGCGGAGGATGGATCGGATGGCGCCACTAGTACAAAAATGAATTTTAAAATCGGGGTTTTAAAATCGGTTATAAGATAACCGATTTTAAAAGTGACGCGGTGACAATTTTGTAAATAATAGTATTACTTTTAAAATCGGTTACGTTATAACTGATTTTAAAAGTCTCTGACGCCACTTTTAAAATCGGCTCTTCAAGAACCCTAAACCCTTTAAAAGTCCTATCCCCCTTTCACAAAACACGCGTTTATCTCTGCTATGCTCTTTATTTTTCGCCCTTCGTTTTCAATTTCGTTTTTGTTTTCGTGGAATCTAGGAGCCCTAGCCGACGGGGACTTGGAAGGCTCGGAGCTCGGCTCAGGCGAGTGCTTTGAACAGATTCGGCGGCGGCGGAGGATTCTCAACGTTCCTCGTGAAGCCCGTCGAGAGAGAGTCGGTGAGTTGGCAGGAACAAACGTTTTAACGAGAGATCTGGCGAGAGAATAGAACCTGCTTGTTGAAGAGGTACCAGAGGCCGAACAAGGCGCCAAGTTCGAGAGTCTTGAAGATCGTGTTCTCGCCGGGAACACTATCGGGAACGGCGTTTTCGGCGGCGCGTGGAGGCGAAGGGGAAGAGAGAGGGCGGAACTTGAAGGAAGAGGAGGGAGAGAGAGTCCAAGATCGGCGAACGAAGGAAGAGGAAGAGACGCCGTCGGCGTTGCCATGTTTGGCAGAGACGCGAAGAGAGAGCGAGGGTCTCAGTCTGAAGGCGTTTGGGGAAGGGTTTGGGAGAGGGAGCGAGGGAGAGAGAGTGAAAGCCGCGCTCTACATTTTCGAGATCTGAGGGAAACAAACGGAACTGAAGCGCGCAGTTTCTTTTCTCTTCTCTTCTCGTGTTTGGTTAGGTTTTATGGAGAGGGAGAGTCCCTCGGAGATTCCGCCACCACCTAAGTTTTGTTTGGTCACTTGGTGGAAATGGAACGAATGAATGAATGGGAGTAGGTAGTAGTACAATTATAAAGGTTCTATTCTTCAATATCCACTTTTAAAATTGTTTTCGTGTTTTACTTTTCTGATTGGTCGTGCATTGCGAATTGTTGTAATTGTGGTGTTTATGTAGTTTTTGTGGATTTTGGATGACAGGGAAGGGGTCCTATGGAGCTGTTTACAAAGCAAGGGATTTGAGAACCTCGGAGATGGTTGCTATTAAAGTAATACCGTTATCTGAAGGGGTGAGTTCATGACTTCACGTTGCTTATAGTGCAAAACTAATGTCATAGAGAGAGAACATGTGGGAATAATAGATCCTCTCTATTGTTGTAATAAAAACTTGAATCGTAATCTAACTGTTTATTCTTTTCAACTTCAACTTTAAAACATAAATATATTGAAGGGTTAGGATCTCGTGAAACAGCAATGTCATGAGTAAAATATAAAAACTTTAACATCAAATTTATCAATATAAAACTATATATAAATATAAAAACTTTAATCATGAGTAAAATATAAAAACTAAAATCATTTTTTTTTCGTTTTAGGTTGAATTTAGTAAGATAATTTTTTAAGTTAATCAAATAAGTTAAAATATAATTTAAATATATTGTGAAACATACTCTTTTAACATATTATTAATTTTATATACATACAAAACTTTATCGAACATGAGTTATAAAATAAAATATAGAACACATTATTTAATTAATAAGGTAATAATCAACTATCGTATTGAATATAAACACACCTTGTGCTTGATTATATCAGAATAATTAGCACACTTGTCAACACTTAATTAACATTCAATTTATTCTTTATTAACTGGTTTGAATTGACACAAATTTTGTTAACACACACATGCACAACCCTTAGACAAGTTCAGATTAATTGTTCAACTTTCTGTCTTGAGACTCCCCTAGAATATGCCAGTAGGTAAAGGGTTAATTAAGTGGGCCAATTGGAGTGCACCTCACTTTGGAAGTTATCACATTAATCATTATAAATATAGTAATATGTTTGCATGTGGCTCTATTAAAGTTGAAAATAGTACAAGAATGCCAAATGCATCATTTATATATTGTGTCGCTATATCTCCATTTAAATCATTATATATAATGTGGTAAAACAGGTTGTTGAAAGGTATATATATATATATATAATCAAGTCAAATACCAGTAAGTCCGTGCCAAAGTTCAATAACTTTCCCTCAAACAATTCAAATTTTCTTCATTTGTACATCTCTATTTATTTATTTGGATTTTCAATATCTTTAATTATTGCATTACTTCTAGGTAGTATTTTTCTAATCTCTGTCAACATATCAACTGTGCGAAATAAAATTGTGTGTTGTTTTATGGTATTAGGTAACAAGGTTAGTGAAACAAGGTACTGGGATGGATAGGCAATGGTCTCTATGCCTCTCTCATCATCTTCTTCCTTATCGTCACCATCTTCTATGACCAATCATTCCGTTCCGACGGCCAGACAACCAACATGTGCCTTCTGCAGTAGTGCTTCGATCACCATTGTCGCTAGAAGACATAAATATCATTAGGGAACAATGGGCCACATTTTTTTATTGACCATTACTTTAACTAGTTTGGGCTTATGTTTTATAGTATTGCTTTAACTAGTTAGAACTTACATTTCATTGAGCAATGTAGTCCATTTATGTATTAGATGTATTTAAAACTATTCAATTATATATATATGATTAACATTTATCATCTTGTCATTTGTATGTGTGAGAAAATATTTTGAACTGTCTGGTTTTTTTGCATGTTTTTTGTTCTGAGGTGCTCCCAAAACAAGTCAAACATACAAAAAAAAATCACTACTTTTAAGATCGATTGTTACATAACCGATTTTAAAAGTCTTGACTTTTAAGATCGGTTACAAAACAACCGATTTTAAAAGTCTTGACTTTTAAGATCGGCTCTTTTAAGATCGGTTCCATAACCGATTTTAAAAGTCCAAAATAACTGATTTTAAAAGTCGTCGAAGGTGCGGCGGACGACGCGGAGGGAGGTGAAGTAGATGACGACGCCTTGGTCGAGGCCTGACGGCAATGCGGCAGGGGAGGCGGCGCATGAGGCGTCGAGGGCGCGGAGGACGGCAGTGGAGATCCGGACGCGGCGGAA